GAGGCGGTCAAGGAAATGGTCAGGGAAGTGGAAATGGTCAGGGAGGCGGTCAGGGAAATGGTCAGGGAGGCGATCAAGGAAATGGTCAGAGAGGCGGTCAAGGAAATGGTCAGGGAAGTGGAAATGGTCAGGGAGGCGATCAAGGAAATGGTCAGGGAGGTGGTCAAAGAAATGGTCAGGGAAGTGGAAATGGTCAGGGAGGCGGTCTTTGAAACTTTCATAGGAATTTTGCATGGGCACCTACTGGAGATCTTTTCCATTCAGTGCTTTATTCATATGGCATGTTTTCCCACTTTGCTCAAACAGTTTGGAAAGATTGTCGCCCCCGCCCCCCTTCCCTCAAATAAAAAAAATGCTAGGAATGACCCTAAAATGTTGCTTTTTTTTATTGCCTGCGTTTTTTTTTCCGCACCATGGTCAGGGAGGCGGTCAAGGAAATGGTCAGGGAAGTGGAAATGGTCAGGGACATGGTCAGGGTGGCAGTCAGGGAAATGGTCAGGGAAGTGGAAATTGTCAGGGAGGCGGTCAGGGAAGTGGAAATTGTCTGGGAGGCGGTCAAGGAAATGGGCAGGGAAGTGGAAATGGTCAGGGAAATGGTCAGGGAGGTGATCAAGGAAATGGTCAGGGAGGCGATCAAGGAAATGGTCAGGGAGGCAGTCAAGGAAATGGTTTGGAAAGATTGTCGCTCCCCCTGGATATTTAGAAAAGTATTAGCCCATTTTTACAAAATATACCACATTATGTCATGGGGACTCAAGTGGCACCAAATGCTAGGAATGACCCTAACATTTTACTTTTTTTTTTTTTTTGCCTGCGTTTTTTTTTCCGCACCATCTGTAGACTCTTTACTTTTTTTTGTCTTGTCATGGAGGTTCTTCAGCTGGTCAGGAGTGACAGATGCATCTGCCTCATGGGCTGCAATCAGTTTCTCTATAGCTGCCTGTCATCCTTTTTTAATAAATACAAATACAGTACAGAAAAATTGTACAACTTTAAATTGTACTTGAGTATAATTTTCAAGTACTTTTTACACCCCTGGGATGTGGGCTGTCAATGTTCCGCCAGGTCTTTGAGGAGCACAGCGGTGCATGTGGCGCATTCAACTCCAAAGCCGAAACGACAGAGTAAAGGCAAAGTTGTATTCTACTGATCATGCTCTATAAATGAACTTTTCCACGCCATTCTAATTTATTGAGATGCACCTGTATATTTAGTCAACCTTGTCCTGTTTTTGTTTAGTCAGGTTTTAGTGACATTTTCGTCTTGCTGTATAATGGTTAAGCCCTTAACTGTCAGCCTCCCACCTTGGCACTCTTTTAATTTGTTGTCCTTTTTCTCTATCAAATATTTTAGTAATCATCATAAATTATATATTGTTTGAAAGCCTAGAAGACCAAGATTCATCCTGTGAAAACCATTTTGAAATCGGACATTGCGTTACTATGGAAATGGTACTTTAAAATCTTCTGGTGGTCTCCTCCCCCTTAACGGGCGGTGTCAAGTGTCATATTACAAAATCCATTATGGTCTTTTACAATCAAAACTTTTTAAAATCTTGACAAAACATATCATTGGAAAGGTCTGAGTCTCAGGATTCCATATTTTGTGATAGACGTAATATTGACCGAGAAATCTAGATATATGTGACAGAAAAATGCATCAAAAAAATTCAATGGAGTTTTGATGGCACCCAGTGGCTGTTTGTGGTATAACACCCTAAATACAATCTCACAGAAACCTCCATTTTTTTTCATTTTAACTAAGGCTTTAGTTTTTTTGTGTGTGTTTTTATTAGCAATTTTAGAGTAAAACCTCTTATGTAAAATATTTATTTTATATAAAATATAATACAAAATTGTACAGTGCATGTTCTTTACTGAAAATTGTAACTTCTATCACTTTTTGATATTTTCATTTTTTTTAAATAAGTCCACTTCTGCAACAATCTACTGACTATCTTCTTTAAAAAGAGACCAACCTTTCCTATGTATTCCAAAGTAGTTGTGTTTAGAAGTATACAATACTTGATGTTCAATTTATAGTAATTGCTTACTATTAACACATGTAATGCGGAGCTGCACCACTGGGGGTGCTCTAGTGGGAAATGGTGTTGAGTAATGCAAAGAACAAGAAAAAAAGGAGTGTGTTCTGTAAAACAGTTAAAAACACAAAAGTGTTCATGAATTATAACAATTTAAGTTTGGATAGTGCACTTTAATGCCTATTTTAAAAAATGGGGGGTGACCGTTAAGGGGTTAAAGTGGGGCGTAGGCACTCTGATGAAAGGCCCCCCGAGTTTATTATACACATATAGCCTAATATTTGTTAAATAATTATTGTTTAATCTATTTTAACACAATTAGAGAACTATTATAACATCTCAAATAACTAAAATAAATTCTTTGAATTAAAATAAATGCATAATTCTTGATGAGTTTGATTGACAGCAGTGTCAGCCAATTGTTATCCAGGCTGTTTCGGGCATGTAAATTCGTGCGTGTGCACCCATTCAGTTGGACTGTAATTTGCAGCTATGTTAGAAAATGCTAGAAAAACAGCAGCAATACATAATTCTGTAAAAAAGACTTTTAAAAACTCGCACTGACGAGGGAGAGAGCGTGTCCATCAGCCCGCAAGTAATGGTAAGACTTTCAGTTCCATGCGTGAACCGGTTCATTCTGTGAAGCCGGGAAACACTACTTTTCAGGCCGATTATGAATGTCATTTGAGCTAGTGTTCAAAGTCGTTTGGTGTGCGGTGTCTAAAGAATTTAAGACCAGCTGTTGCCAGTCGTCCACACAAAGAGTAGCCTATTTTTTTTATTTATTTGTTAATTTTTTTATATAATTTTTGTGACTGATGCCGGCGATTAACTGCACGTGTTTCCTAATTTGTAGGCCTATTAATTTAAATAACGAATTAACAAAAAATACACAAACATGACATTTCTGAATAAAATAATTGTATACACTTTAGTTATATCTAATTTGGCATTTTCAATTAACATAGACCTGTTACATTCTTCTTATTAGCCTATTAGGCCTACACAGTAAAATTCAAGGGGTAAAGTTAAAGGGGTAGTAATGGTAAGACTTTCAGTTCCATGCGTGAACCGGTTCATTCTGTGAAGCCGGGAAACACTACTTTTCAGGCCGATTATGAATGTCATTTGAGCTAGTGTTCAAAGTCGTTTGGTGTGCGGTGTCTAAAGAATTTAAGACCAGCTGTTGCCAGTCGTCCACACAAAGAGTAGCCTATTTTTTTTATTTATTTGTTAATTTTTTTATATAATTTTTGTGACTGATGCCGGCGATTAACTGCACGTGTTTCCTAATTTGTAGGCCTATTAATTTAAATAACGAATTAACAAAAAATACACAAACATGACATTTCTGAATAAAATAATTGTATACACTTTAGTTATATCTAATTTGGCATTTTCAATTAACATAGACCTGTTACATTCTTCTTATTAGCCTATTAGGCCTACACAGTAAAATTCAAGGGGTAAAGTTAAAGGGGTCATATGATGCGATTTCAATTTTTCCTTTCTCTTTGGAGTGTTACAAGCTCTTGGTGCATAAAGAAGATCTGTAAAGTTGCAAAGACTAAAGTTTCAAATCCAAAGAGATATTCTTTATAAAATTTAAGAGTCAGCCACGCCTACCTAAAATGGCTCGTTCTAACACGCCCCCACATGTCTACCTCACTATGTGGGAAGATTTGCATAACGCCGCCCAAATGTTCACGCAAAGAAAGAAGGCGTAACTTTTATTCTCACTGTAGTATTGTTGCCGCTGCCGCCATGTTGTGAAGGCGCTGTGTGCTTCGTTGTGAAAGCGAAACTACTTTGTTTGGTCTTCCAAAAGAGGACGATATCCTAGAGCTGACCTGTGCTGGTCGCTGAGGGCTGTTCGTAAAAAGTTTATTTTTGTTATATACAGGAAACGGTCATAGTTACAGGGTTTCTTTTAATGGCACAAACCAGCAAAAATTGAGCACAAACGAACGGCACCGGTTTGGAGAGATTTGGACGTCATGGGGTGGAGAGTGACATCACTGCCCAGAATTGTTTTTGTTATTTCTAAAAAGGGGAAATATATTTGACATTCATTTCAACAGCACAAATCGAGCACAAACGAATGACACCAGTTTTGTGCGATTTAGACGAACTGGGGTGGAGAGTGACATCACAGCTCCCGAAAATATTGGTTCTATCTAAGGAAGGAAAATAGATACAGTGTTTGTTTTAACGGCACAAACGGGCACAAATCGAGCACAAACGAACTGTCACGTGTGACGTCACACGGTCAAAAAAGTAATGTTTAATAACTCAAACACCAAACCAGCACAAATGTTCGTTTTTGCGACACAAATCCGCACAAACGAATGGCATAGTTTTGGTGATTATTTATTTTTATGGGGTGCCAACTTCACGGAGGTGTTTCACACTCGCGCATGAACAAGGCCTTTGTGATCTTCTTGAAGGAGCAGAGTTTGGTTGGTCGGTTGATTGAGAGTGGAGTGTGGGTAAGTGGTGTTTTATATGTTATTTCACGCTGGTTTCAATTTCAACAAAAGTTGCAATTTCTAATGTGCCACCGTTCATACCTAACTGAAATTGAGCGAGAAACTTACTAGCGGAATAAAAATGATTCCGCTAGGTTGTAAGAATCAAGCATTAAAACACGTACTGTCATTTAGACGCCAAGTGTTTGTTTTTGGAATCATCGTCTTCAGATATCTCTTTTCGCGTTCAGCATGAAGGGAAGTCCTATATGATCTATGGGAATACTGGCAGCCTAAAATGTTTTGAGTGTGGAGATATTGGACATAAGAAAAATGTCTGTCCATGTCCACACAAAAACCAAGTTGAAATAAATGAAAATACAAATGGAACTGAAGTTGTTTTACCAACAGAAGAAGTGCAGAGAATTGAAGTAGGGAAAGATCAGGTTGATATGGAAAAAAATGAGGATTCAAATTGTCATGCTGTGCAGGAGAGTGAAAGTAGGCCTATAGTAAGTAAAGTAGTTGAGGAAAACAGTGGAAGAAGTGTTGAAGCAGAAAGGTCTGACCCCATTGTATTTTTGAAATGGAAAATATAGGGCAAAAAGGTGAAGATCACTCTTTTGTTTCACAGATAGAATTGATCATGGAATAGAGGAAGGTAATGATGATGATAATATGTCTGAAATGTCTGATATTTCTTCTCAGTGTGGGGATGAACAGTTGTATAGTGATGTTACGTTCTGTGTCGAGGCTTCAGAGCGTGTGTCAAGAAATCCCAGTGTAGTGCCGAAATTTGCACCCTGCTAGATTATGCACCCCCTAGTATTGGTAGGTTTAGGAGTAGGTGTGGGGGAGGGGTTAGGATTAGGCATTTAGGTAGCAACTTCAACGAGGGGGTGCAGAATTCAGCACAACACCGGCAGCTTTCAGTGAAGCACGTATCGAGGCTTGTGTCGCTGTAGAGCAATGACGTCATTGATGACGTCCGAAGCCTCGCTTGGCCTGACTGGTTCAGGAAGCGGTTTGAATATTGTAAATTCAAAGTCCTTTGCCCTGTTAAACTCAGCCACTTTCCAGTTTTAGGCTAATAATATTGCCCCTCTTGCCTATTATGAGCGAAGACTTGATTTACACACATTTTATAGCCCCATTCATTTCAAGCCAATACGATTATTACACAATTATGTTGTATTATGTTTTACACTCATTGTAAAATACACATTATATTCATATGAATAGATTAGTCTGTGGAAATTGATTTTTTTTTTCTAAGCCTTAACTGGCGCAAAACAGTGTATCATAGATCACATCAGGTCATCTTCTGTAATGTATCTGCATGTTTTACACTCTTTGGCCACCAGGTGGTATTGTGAGCAAATGAAGCCTCGAGAAACGAACCCTTTTGTGATCCACTTGGATGAAAAGCTTCAATGCTTCATAAGGCTTCATCTCGCCATCACTACAATTGTACACTTTAAAAGAAATCAATGATTTTCTGGATGAAACTTTTGGCAGAAAGTTTGAAGTAAGAGAGTTTTTTCCAGATGTTAATTTCAGTAATAAAAATACAGAAATCAGTAGGTTTCGAGGAACTTAGTAGAAGGAAAAGGTTTAGACTGAAGAAAATTGTAACAAAATTAAGGAAAGGAAAATGTGCGGCTACAAGACTAAGACTGTCTAATGTCACAAAGGGTGAATCTTCTCTTCCATTTTAAATTGTTTCTCCTTTTTATTCTTCTATTCTTTTTTTCTTCATTTTTTAAATGAAGGATCCATTAATATAAATGGAGGGAGGGGGAAAAAATAAAAGAGCAGCTCTATCTAAATGTATACATACAAAAACCATTAATATTGCTTTCCTAAAGGAAACTCATAGTGATCAGATAGATTAAATAGACTGGAGTATGTGGTGGGAGGGAAACATTTTCTTTAGTCATGGCTCTAATTTAAAGGGGTCCTATTATGCTCTTTTACAATGTCTTGATTTTGTTTTGGAGGTGTACTAGAACATGCTCTCATGCTTGGTGGTTCGAAAAACGCATAATTTTTTACATAATTAACATGATTACCTTTCTCCCCATCCTGGCACAAACGGCTCGATTAGTTCCGGGTTTGATGAAGGCCCGCCTTCCGAAAAACAAAATGTGTTGTGATTGGTTAGCTGTCCCAGTGCATTGTGATTGGCGAACAGCTTAGACTGTGTTTCAGTACTGCCCCACCCCTTGCCAAAGCAGCAAGTTCCGTCTTCTCCGGTTTAGTTAAGGATGGCATCAGTATTGCCATATCAATTTGAGCCGGATTCAGACCCAGAGAATATTGAACAAGAGGATCGCGCAGAACCTTTGCACGCACGGATATTTTTTTAGGCTAAATCACGTTTTAGATAGGATTTACTATGTACAAATAAGTGTATATGTATTATTTTTATTGTTATTTAATTCTAACATTATAACATGAATTGCAGT